TGAAAACTTGTCGCGTTTTTCGTCAAAACCTTCACAAAAATACCACTTTTCTGTTCAACTTATTCGTATTTCAGCAAAAAATGTCAGATGAGGAATATTATGACGAACCAGCTGACGATGAAGAGTACGGCTCTGATGAGCACGAAAGAGAACCTGATGAAGAAAAAGAAGAAGAAGAAGACCAGGATGAGGAGGAGGAGGAAGGAGAAGAGGAGGTAGAGCCAGAAGATGAAACGGAGCACGAGGGTTCTGGAGGGCACGACAACGAATATCCTAAACCAGCTGATGATTATGGTTATGATGATGACGAGCATGAAGCAAGCGATCATGAGACTCACGACGATTCTGCTCACGAAGGCGGCGAACAAGAGGAAGTAACTGATTTCATATTTCTGATTGATCAAAATTACTTGTGCAGTAAAGGTATTTGTGGACATAAAATAGATCTGGACTATCTGCGGTTCACATCGCAGTGCATTATCTGGACTATCTGCATCGGCGGAACTACTATCTTTTTCGTTGAGTCGATTATAACATCTTACCTAGTCACAGCCGTAAATCTTACATTTCACAATGGTGACCAGTACAGATTTACATTCAAACATGGTATCAACGGCTTTTATGATAAATTTGCGACAAATTTAGCAGGAACTAGCAGAAACAGCCGTATTGTTTTAACATTTTATGAACGTCACTTGTATCTTGAATGACTGGACACTGTTCTGTTCGTTTGCAGTCGTACGAAAGGGATGACGAACCTCAACGTGCATATGCAGCTGATGATGAGGGAAGTGGTCCACCAGTGGATTTGACGAATATGATTCAAAGTAATCATCTATCATGTTCACATTAATTTAACTGTATAATACTTCTCGCAAACGATCACACATCCATACTGCTTGTATTTCTACACGTGCAGTTTGATGATGACTGCTCGAAAGGCATTTTGTGCTTCCACGAAATGTTTAGGATACATCGAACTAAGTGTCGGATGAATTGAAACTATAATCAGTTCAAGAAATAATTCTCAGCATGTGCGTATAACAATGACTTAATTCGGTATTTGGTAGCCACTCAGCGAGAAATTGCCACACCTCACTGACATACAAGATGCTTCTCCGTTATCATGAAGATTATTCAAAATTCTTTGATACCATCTTTCTAGTACAACCATGATATCGCGCAAAATAGAATATATCCTCTGTTCTTCGGTCTTGTTATGTCACATTTCTAAGCAACACCCTGATGATTCTCAAGTTTANNNNTCGTCATGGTTATTAGCTGAGGGGTTCACGTTTGGTAGCAATTTGAATGGTTACTAAGAAGAAAATCGGAATTTTGAAAATTCAACAAAATGTGGGGTATAGTTTGAAATGTTGGGAATTTGATGTGAGCAATTTTGATCAATCAGAGATATGTTTTAGAGGTCAGAGTTTTGCATAGTGTACAAAAATTATGGTTAAAGAGGCGATTGATGCGCTGTAAGGAACTGTCT